CCCCAAATGCATTGGCCATTGCTTTTTCTCAGACACTCATGGCATGAATCGATTCCGTATTCCTTAAGCTCCGACCACAGTGCTCACAAGTCGCCGGCTCGCTGCGAGTAATAACTGCATGCTTTATGTAATTTGCAGCATGAGCTCCACCTTTGAATTTACTATATGAGTAAATTCTTAAACACGTCCGAATTTATCATTATGATAAATTCGCGGCAAATTTTGAATTTATCATAATAATAAATTCGCGGCACCTAACACTAACCCTAACCCCAACCTAACCACTAACCCCTAACCCTAATTTTTTAACTTTTTAAAATTTTTTAACTTTTTTAAAAATCTAACTTTTTAAACTTTTCTTCCTTTCCAAAATCTTTTAAAACTTTTTAAAACTTTTTTAAAACTTTTTTAAAAACTATTTTTTTAAAAAACATGAAAACTTCCCACCCCTACGCGAAAAGCTTCCATTTTAGTGTCATTACATTTATAGCAGGATATCTTGTGTAATGCATGTGGTTTTATGATTAACTCTATTGATAAATTCAAAATGTGCCTGCTAATTTATCATAATGATAAATTCGGACGTGTTTAAGAATTTACTCATATAGTAAATTCAAAGGTGTAGCTCATGTTGGTAATTTGTACTATTTTAGTTCTATTTGCTCTTGATGCCCGCAACAATCCCTAGGGGGGGCCGGGCCCTCCGGCCCCAGCCCTGGCTACGCCTCTGGATTATTTGTTCGATTCATAGTCTGTCAAGATATGATTGCCTGTAACTTGTAAGCCCAGCTAACGTCAAAGCCACAAAGTGGAACACCGTCACCGTTGTCTGATGTTGAACTGTACCTCACCGTGCACAAATTCGTTGTCTCAAGTTCTCAACTTCATTAAATATTTTCATCGTGGCCGCACATCTCTGTTATTCCTATTGAACAATTACTCAATTATACTGAAGCTCAATAAAGAATTAAAATACTGCATGTATATAATTATAATTAACTAGTACAAGTATGCCTGGAGTACAGACATCCTGTCTGTGGGAATTGAAATTGTTTGTCGCCCTTTTCCTGAACAAAGAAAATTAAAAACAAAATACTTATAAGCCTCTCATTAAAAAAAATACTTAAGCCTCTTGTTATGTGAGTTTATTATATGGTAAAGAGTGAGATACTGAAAAATACACAGTGAGATATTTTCCATATCTTCACTAGTGAAGATATCGATCACGTGACTTCTTCCAATTTCCTTTTGAGCGTAAAATTTCACAATCTTTTGCTTGGGACTATTAATAAACAGAACAATATACACGGTGCCTTGAAGATATGACATTTATCTTCTCGTGTTAAAAATAATATTTTACTCGCTCATTCGATGCGCTCGTTCGTAAAATATTGTTTTCACCACTCGAAGGTCATATCTTCGCGCCGCCGTGTAATATCCTCTATATATGTAGCTAGGAAACTTTATCTTATATACTATCAGCTCTGTATATACTAAGCTCTTCTCTTTAACGCCAGTATAAAGGACCATGTTACCTAAAATTAGTACAGGAGGAAACCTTAATTAACTAAACCAACTTTATGCAGCAAGAGCGCCTGCTTCTCAGCATAACTTTCTCATGCAAATGCATGTTGGTCAAAGGAATCAACAATAGGCCTATATACATTTTGAATTATTTCATTGTTTTTGAACCTTTTATTTGAACCTTTCATTATTTTCGAGAACGATACACGAAGTAGGCTAGAAAAGTTGTCTAGTAACCTATTTTAGAGTTTTATATGTTCTTTCTGCGTAAATACAGACTTAACTACTTCGTTGCCCTACAGACAGCAAACTCCTATTTTCTTGATATAGCAAACATCGCAAGAGAAATGGCTTCGCGGGAGACATTCACTCATGCAAGCAATTGCGCAGAAGCTAAGAATATTATAGTATGATATCTTGATACCATTGTAATAAACTACAGGGTGTCTCAAAAAAACCGCTACCCTTAGAAATTCACCATTGTTCTAATTTGAATGCCTGAACCTTGTTGAAGCCATGAATGCGTAAACATTTTCACAGGATGCATATATTAAAGATCTTCGGAATTAAAATATCCTTGAAATCCTGGGAATTGAAAGTAGGTTCATACAAAAGTATAACTGCACGAAAATCGTTCAATTACATATTAGTGAATGTCAAGCAAATGGCTCAACTGAGCACAGAGCAAAGAGTATTTATTATCTTATTGTCCATTCAAATTGTTCATGCAACCATGAGTTCAAGATAGCACTCAGGCATTCAAATTAGAACAATGGTGAATTTCCAAGGTAGCGGTTTTTTGAGACACCCTGTACAATAAGATCCTTGACCTTGTAGATTTGCATAGTAAAAGCAAATATAATTGTTTTGTTTTGTTTTGTTTTGTTTTGTTTTGTTTTGTTTTGTTTTGTTTTGTTTTGTTTTGTTTTGTTTTGTGGACACATTTATTTCTTTGCTTTGGTGAAAATCGATCTCTTTCGATCGAAGTCTGCTCTTCAGTGACATTGGTGCTACAATAGAAAGCCGCTACCACTACCTCTCACCAGTTTAATTTGTACAGATCTGAATGGTTAATCGGATCGATATATCAAACGTATCTGATCGATCGGTTATAGTGGTCCTTTAATGATAGCGGTACTGCAGCAGTAGTGAAAGACAATTCTGAACCTGATGAAGACACCAAGGCTTAACAATCCGAAGCTATTATAGTATATAATACAAAATAAGCACGTTTTCAAAAATATCAAACAATTATATCAATTCCGGCATGCAATCAAACCAGGAACTATAAATAATGAACACCTACATAATTATGTACAAAAATTTGTTGCGACAGTTGATTATTTAATTTGGTTTGGTTCTCACGAAATTCAATTTTTACGAAATTGAAGTATTACAACCTACATGAAAGAGTTAAGCTTATTTGTGCCATAATGGAAAGTGCCTTTTATATACTGCCTTCTGGTTTCGTCCTGTAGTTACAATCATAGATATTTTATATACACTAGATAGCGCATCTCTTTTAGTAAAATTGAAGCCAAGAATATTCCAGCGGTTACCCCCATTTGAATAGATGGCGGCCATGTTGAAGTTCCCACTGCTAATAAACTGTTTAAGTTCCCTGTTTAAGAAATAGAAAACATACGAGTCTTCTCATTTCATGGGAATATCCTGAGTCTGCAATCACGGCTTCAATTTTCGAATTGCAAAATAATTAGATGCACTATCTAGTGATATAAGATATCTATCGTTACCATAGATATCTTATATACACTAGATAGTGCATCTCTTTTAGTAAAATTGAAGCCAAGAATATTCCAGCGGTTACCCCCATTTGAATAGATGGCGGCCATGTTGGTCGTTCCCACTCGCTAATAAACGCTTAAAAAACAACAATAACTTTCATCATTTGAATAGTTTGAAAATGTATTCGGAATAGGTTTAACTTAATGTTTAAGTTCCCTGTTTAAGAAATAGAAAACATACGAGTCTTCTCATTTCATGGGAATATCCTGAGTCTGCAATCACGGCTTCAATTTTCGAATTGCAAAATAATTAGATGCACTATCTAGTGATATAAGATATCTATCGTTACAATGGTCAATGGACGACCAAACCTCAGATTATAAGATCATATAGTCAACATGAAATAAAGCTGTGTCCAGTATAAATAAATTTAGTTTCAATTTCGTTGAATTTAGTGGCTTGCATGCATGTGCTGCCGTGGTTGCGGAAGCTCAGAAATAATGTTAACAGAACTTTATAAACAAAATTGAAAAAAACTTTTGTTTAGTAAGCCGAACACTGTCGATTTTGACATATGAAGATAAGACTATCTTCAATATTTTTTCTGTACTTTAAATTAAATAAATATTTTCTTGGCATCTTACTCGATTGAATAATATTTGAAGAGTATTGTAGATGGAAATTTCGAGTGGAAATTTATATACATTTATTAGACGTAACCAGGAACGGCTGCGAAAAATGCTGTACATTCTGTACTGTTTTATAGTGTCATATAATGTACTGTACTACACCATACTGTACTCTGCCATACTGGTCTGTCCGTGCTATATTGTGTGGAATGCCGTACGTACTGCACTGTGGTACCATAGTCATAGATATTATATTGTAGTGTATTGTATTTATCCTGTAGTATGCTGTAATAATTGCACTGTATCATACTGTTCTGTGTTTAGGTCTTGGATATGGTGTTTCAACTACTTCGACAATTAAGCAAGAATCTGCATGATAGCTGCTTGGTGTCTTAACTCAACGAGCACCAAACAATTCTGACCACGAAATACCATCTAATCCTCGTTTAATGTCTATGTTGTCTTCAGGTATTGATATTACGTTTACTTGAGGATGAATAGGATACGTCATAGACATAGTACACAAACATTATTTGTTCGATTCATAGTCTGTCAAGATATGATTGCCTGTAACTTGTAAGCCCGGCTAACGTCAAAGCCACAAAGTGGAACACCGTCACCGTTGTCTGATGTTGAACTGTACGTCACCGTGCACAAATTCGTTGTCTCAAGTTCTCAACTTCATTAAATATTTTCATCGTGGCCGCACATCTCTGTTATTCCTATTGGACGATTACTCAATTATACAAAAATACAATGAGCTTAATCACCGTTACATGCATAAATTAACATAAACTCAAACGACAAAAACATAACACAGTGACTTGTGTTTAGTTCCCAGACCATCATTTCTGCATGGTAACAGACATTAGCTAGAGTTGAGCTATGATATGAACCAGGGATATATTTTGTTATGTAACTATATTGGTACTAATAGCTCGCAATATAGAACAAAATTTAGGAACAAAAGCAAAGATTTCGACAGGGATAATATACCACTGGCTAGTGGACCTCAAAGAAAGGGTTACCAAAATATATTAAAAATAAAACATAAAATATCGCCTTTCTGTAATACCGCGCATGTAATGAAGGTATGTAAAGAGGACTATGTTTTAGGACCGGATTAATGTCTAATACCTGTTAATAATTTTCTTTAAATTGTACAGTCTAGGATAGTACGCATTACAAGGTTTGTTGACGTTGGATATTGATAAGTTTCCATACAGTTAACTGACACGACACTGACGTATGTTGAAACACTATGTCTATGATATTTTGGCTTTGCATTTCTATATCTTGTGTGTATGTTGTTTTATACTGAACTGCAGATATTACATATCCACTTAAAATACTACACTTCGACAGTCCCGAGCTAGATTTTCCTATGGGATGCATGAAAACAGACCTGCAGCGGAATCACATCCATATCCCCATTACGTCAACAATGACATAAACATCGGAATCTGCATATATAATGAGCTACACAATAAATCGCTTGATAGCAAAGTTAGACGAACTTTAAGTGATGGACACATTTTCTGGGCTGATTCTGCTCTACCGAAGTAAACCTGCAGCAGAATTTTGGCTGCTAATTGACTTTGTGATGTTTTCATTTAGCTTTGCCACCCAAAATGGAGGAAATCAAGCAATTACATAGAATATGTGTTGTGACGACCTTGATAAAATAGTTGCAGGACTAAACTTACAGAAAATTGTATTTCTTACACACATTCATGAGCAACGTTATGTACAACAAATTTCTTAAAGAATGCATAAAAATTAGCAAAATGTTGCAAGGACCCTCCCGAATGGGTCAACACAACATTACACTGTTGATGAGCGCTTGGACTTGACCCTTTGTCAGTAAGTTCACTTATCGTTAGTTTAAACTCAATCACAGGTAGAACGCTGAAAGTGTTGTGTCCAATATTTGTATTAATATCGGGCGAAGACACTTCCATGCGCGAGGTACTGGTATTTGATTTATCCGACACGTTCTGTAAAAACGATTGTTGGTTTTGTTCCCCACTTTGTGTTGTTTCTTCTCCAAGACTATTCGCCTCTTTTGTTACTGCACATTCATGTCCGCAATGTTCGGTATTATTCACCGCTTCATCGTTTGCCGTGTGTATTCGTCTCTGCCGTCGTCGATTTTTCCACGTAATCTGTGTAGCTTTGCACAGGAAAGTAAACGTCGTGTTTCCACTTTCGTTGTTACTTTTCATCCTTTTGACACCAAGATCATTGGAACTTTCCCCCTCATGTGGCCGCTTACGAGATACTAATGAAAATTCCTCGTTAATCGCAACATCTTCATCGACGCACATGCTATCATCACCTATTTCGTTTTCACCAGTTAATGACTCGACGTTCGAAATCACATTTTCTGTTGGTGTACACTCGTCTGCTCTTTTGTCCGCCTGAAATTCACATATAATCTGTAACTCGTTGTTCAATAAGTCTGCGATAAACTTACATGTCTGCTGTAGTGGAGTGTAGGGAAATGTTGCGCTTTTTACATAAGGAATCGTAAATGAATAAAATGATTTCCTCGACCTTTGGTTAGTATCAGCTGGTAGGGTAAAAAGTTCAATAAAAGCACTCGTTTTCGTTACACAACCGTCCACAGTCTGCTCTGAATTATTTGACAAAATAGTATATGCTTCTCGGCATGATTGGACAAAGCTTTGAAGAGTCTCTGCTGAAACATTCTGTGTTAAGTTGTGGGATAATTCAAATGGATCTTGTACACATAAGGCAGACGGTCTAAATATGGTGGATTTTACGGAAACTTGCGATACACTCTCCTCGATACTTGCTTTCAATACACGTTGATTTAAATCATGTTGGATTGTAATAACTTCATTCACATAGTCAAATGATGTTCCGTAATAATGAAACCAGTCTTTTAACAATGTTCCTACAAAAGATAAAAGAAAAAACACGACGTAAGGATGAAATAGAAGAAAATGTTACCGTTACATGCACGCTCGATATTTACGCCATCCAACTCTGTTCTAATTTTGTTACTGCGATTTCCTCACCCAATTCGTTAAGTCGATAAAGCGTTAATGTACCAACGTCGTTCCCAGGCTCTCTCATACGTCCATAAGAGGGACGATTCTGGGAACGAGGTTGCGTTCGTACAATTGTCAGATTATAGAGCATCTGGAAGATATAATCTCGAACGATCTGCGCCAGCGGCTCTCTCTTACGCAGAGGCTTCTGGTGTAAAAAATCTAAGGAAGTCAAGGAAGCCCCAGCCAACATTCAGGAGAAAATGGTGGCGAACTGAGGGGTGATCACAATATCTACCGAAATATATATCTACTGGAATGGATATGTAAAAATGAAATACCGCATATATAAAATTCATTCAAACAAATTCATTGTCTGGCGATCGTAAATATATCTAAATTGTATACACGTTTTTGAGCGAGCACATTATTTAGCTTGCGGTGCAGATGCACATCTAAATCTCGGTCGTGGTTGCGAAACTGTAAAATATTTTGCTGTTAGAAACCAAGTTAACCATCAAACTAACGCAAAATTAAAGTATTTTTATACACACGTAACATTTTAGGTACCGTCGGCTCGTCCTGCATGGTGTTTAATTTCGAAACAGAATTGTCTAATATTGATCTGGAATTATAAAGCGAAAAATCGAAAACACTTCGTGCACACGACATTGTTGGCTTAATAATATTGCAAAAAATATTGTCAATATTGAAACCGAGAATATTGTTCAATATTGTTTCACCCATAAATAATTGTTCAAGATTGATGAAACAGGAGAAAAAGTAATGACAGAATAACCATGTTGGGTGTTGATAACATGATTGTTCAATGTTTCAGTCGTGATATAGTTAAATAACACTGTGACAATTATGTTATCAGATATTATCAATTTTATTTAGTGGGGTAAAACACTGTTCAATGTGGGCAGCACAACATCATTTTCACCTGTCAACAAAAAATACCTGGAGTACAAAGACACAGACAGAGAGATTGGAGTGAAATAAGTCAAATGAAGGGACTATCCATAACCATAGTCTGTGAAGATTTGATGGTCTGGCAGAATGGCAAACTTCAAAGCTACAAAATAGAAGACCTTTGTTTGATGTTGTGAACTGTCTCTCACCGTGAACAAATCCTTTGTCTCAACTTCATTAAATATTTTTCATCGTGGCTGCAAGTTTCATCACAGCTATCCCTATTGAACGGTTACTTAAAAATACGAAAATACAGTGAGCTCAATCACCGTGACTGTGCACAATTTAACATCAACTCAGACAAAAACATATAGCTAACAAACACTTCTGTTTAGTTTCCAGACCATCATATCTCGATAGACTATGCCATAACAAAATTGCAAAGATCTTTCACAATTCAGCACTTACCCAACGAATCTTTGTTTTGGCTTATCTCTACTGCTGTTGACATAAAACTGCAGTCCCATCCTTCAATGATCATTTTCTCAGCAGCTGCAGCATCTCCCATTAACATTGCCTCACTTTCACGTCGCAACTGCAGCACAGGAATAACTGGTTGACGTGTGCGCTGTAGGAAATGAAACAGCATAAGAACGAGGCAATAATTTGATATTTGACGGCCACCACTTCCGGTCAGACGTTTCGCTGCGCCCCAGTTCTTCAGCGTGATGGCGAGTGGTCGTATGCGGTCGTCCAAAGAAACGTAGGATTTAATGAGCTCCGTATTTCTGATTGCCAATCTGTAATGGTATAGCATATGTTAGCTTAGTTTTGACTGAACCCCCATGCAACCCCTTAAAACCGCCAGCTACACATACGGCAACATTAGTTTCGGTTGTAATATAAGTTCTTGTTTTTCGTTATGCATGCAAAATTGTAAATTTGTGCCTTTCAGTTTACCTTTTCAAATTTACGTTTATTTTAATCAGTAAAAGGTACTGTTCAGGAATATATACTACCTCACAAAATGTTCTTTGTCCTTAACTGAATGTGAATTGCACTAGCTCTTGCAGGTAATAGGTGAGCTAGTTTATAGTTACTATCTCTTGGAAAACGTCTTGCAGAGGAATTCTCGGCTATCAAATTTACGAGGTTGAAATATCAGTTTTTACAATTGCATTACCGTATGGTCTCCAGGAAATGTAGTGCCCATTACTCTTTTTTGAAAACGTTCCAGTTCATCTGATAGATACTTTGGTAGACTGGAATGGACATAGGCGTATGTGGCAGGGGGGCAGGGGGCAACTGCCCCCCCCCCCAATTTTGGAAAACCATGCAAATTCTGGCAAATGCTTGGAAAAATCAAGAAAATTTGGGCATATTTATCAGAAAATAGGATAAATTCATGTAATTTCATTACAATCCTCCATAACAATTCGGGAAAACTTTCAACTGCCCCCTCCCTGGAAAGCATCAGCCCCGTAGTCCGTACACCTATGGGAATGGAAGACTTATTAATATGAGTATTCGAGAACTGATCCTATTATAACACAATAAAAGCAAACAAGATTATTTTGTTTCCACATGGAGTTTAAGTTGTTTGAGCAGATATATAAATGTTTTGCTGCTTTTTAGTAACATAGTTGATATGATCATTCCATTTCAAACCATTTCTTATGCTGTACTTTCCCAGAAATAGCAAATGACAATCAATTGAAGTGCAGGCAAATTGCATCTCTATTTATTTGCATTAAAACACAAGACAACTACATAATTATATACTGAAAATTATTTTTTACTCTGATCACTTTGACGACCAACTCCTGTATTAAAGAGCTTATAGTGAAATCCATGCCCTAATGCTGAATTTAATGTATTCCAAAATACTATAGGGCATATTCCACTCGAAAACTCCATCTACAAAAAAACCATATACTATTAGTTCTATCGGGCGAAAGGCCCAAAATCGCAATGTTTTACTGTACCTGTTATTGATACTAAGGTCACAAGATAACCCAGAATCACGGTGAATAAACTTTACGACGGGACATTTTGCTGTGCTAACGCTAATAACATTCTGAAACCCTGCAGCAAACTGCCGAAGAATTTTAACAATAAATTCCAGCAATTGGTGGGTCAAATCAGACGAGCTTCGCAAGCTGTCGTCTTGGTCCAGGACGAGGTTCAACGCTTCAGGATCCACCAAAAGACATAGATCTATGTCAGCTCCTTTCAAACCAAGTCCGGTGGCCGTTGAACCAAATGGTGTCACGACACACGCTGGAAATATTTCAACGAATATTTCTCAGTACATACAATAAAATTCACCACACGATATTGTAAATATACAGCATTGTTATATAGCTGGTGTGAACACCAAACGCGATTGGCTGATTTGTAGTCACGTGGCTTTAGATAAATGCAATGTATCCCGCCCGGGCAATAAGTGAAAAATTGTTGCCCGCCCCGACCGGCTACGTACATAGTTTTTGTCATGAAATACAAATATTGTTGTATGAATGTTGTTCAATGTTGATATTTGTTTCGTCGCTATATAACAAAACACTTAACGTCTTTTCCCTCGGGAAATAGTTAGTTTTGTTTTCCCTCGAATCTGAATGTTTCCCTCGACTTCGTCTCGGGAAACATTGAGATTCTCAGGAAAACAAAACTAACTATTTCCCTCGGGTGCAGACATTAAGTGTATAATATCACTCCCGCCTTGCAGGCTTTCTTCGGGCAAAGGATTGATATTTACCAAACTATATATATAATTTACCATACTGTACTTCAGTAATGTGAATTTGGTTTTGTCCTGTAGAATATTTTCCATTATCAGTTCACAATTTGAAGTTTCACAGTTTCGAGCTTCAAAAGTCAAAGTTTTTGAATTTGGTGTTTCAATAGTATATGAAATTCAGGTTACACTTAACAAATATAAAACATTTTCCGTGTTGATATACAGGTATATCAACACGAGTGGAAATCGGGAAAACGAGAAATTGTGTGGAAACACGACGCCCGAAAGGCGGAGTGTTTTCACACAATTTCCAGTTTTCACAATTTCCACGAGTGTTGATATAACTATTTAACAATTATTCCCCGATAATCACCAAGCCTGAGGCGAATAATTGTTTTAGTATTTTTACACAAGTCTTTTGTGTTTTTGGGATTGAATATATATTTTAATTTCGCTTATTTCTTTATCAGTAACTTTCACAAAACAGCTAACCGCTGTTTTGAAAATTTCGGTTTTGTTGTATTCACCTGTAGGTGAATATAACGGCTTACTATAACGGCTTACTATAACGGCTTTTCAATCTCCAGCAATGGAAGCTTTGCATTATCAAAACAAATATCAATTGATAAAACGAGGCGATCTATATTTACAACCAAAAAATATCTTAAGTTTTATAAACTTCCAGTAACAATATGCAACAAACTATTTGACTCTCTCTTCTGTCCTATCTTATTGTATAATTCAGAAATCTGGGGTGCGTACGAGAAACTGAACTTTGATAAATGGAAAACTGACGGGTAATGATTGCACACACAATTTTATAAACACTACTTTGGGCTAAACAAAAGAGCTCCAAACGTTGTCTCTCGAACGATTATCAGCAGGCCGATTATCTTTAAAATCAACAATTTATGAAAACATACTAAAATTCTGGATTCATCTTGAAATTAATCAACCAGAAAATAGTATTGCTTTTCAATGTCTTCAGATTTCTAAACAACTAGCGTTATCTTGTACTAAACCTTGTTTCATTTCATGCGTAATCGAAATCACACGCTTATTTCAAACACAGAATCAACAAAACATAGATACTATATAGTAACAAAGATAATTCAGGAGGGGTGATGGTTCATCACCCTTGGTGGTCTGCTCAAGATACCTCTGGCATGGATCTTAACCCGAGTCCAAGTAACAGTAGTGCCAGTAGCCGTCCCAGGCCACCCCTCGGTCACCCGGGCTAACACCTCACCATCCAATTTTAATACAATAAATGGTTATTTGAAATTAAACAAAATATAGAACATCAATCCCAATTACATCAAATTCTGTCATCTTCTGAAGTCAAATAGAAAACTTGTTTTTTATTCAACTTTCAAATACGATATCAAATCAAATACGATATCAAATGTTCCTCATTTTTGGAGTTGATTAAAAATGGAGATCATCGTAAAGCCACAGCGAAGCTTCGAATGGGAAACCATAATTTAAAAATTGAGACAGAAAGACATAGCTTTCCCAAAATACCAGAAAATCTAAGAACATGTGACCACTGTGGGTCACAATACATAGAAAATGAAACACATTTTTTATTCCATTGTATATTGTATAACCAAATTAGAACTACCCTATACAATGATATGAACAGTCGATATCAAAACTTTAGAAGAATGAATACCACGGAAAAAGTTCTATTCCTATTCAACAATGTTGATCCTTCTGAATGTAAAAAATTGCATGGTTCATTTCCGAAGCTTTTGTAATAAAAAAAGACAATTTATTACTGTAAAGAACACTTTTGGGCTTTATGCTAAAACTGTTATTACGTAGCCGTATAGGGTCAATTTAATATAGTTTTATTATTTTGTTACGTAGTCGTACGCAATACCATTAATGTATATGCTTCCAATAAATTGTTGTTGTATCCTCAAAACCTTCAAAGCTTAATACGTCAGATTTGACCAATCAACGTGCATGTGGGATTTGTTATGGTCACTTGTGCAAAAATACTAAATATCAATACGGAAAAAAATGTTTTATATTTGTTTTATAATATAGCACAATTGAAATATAAAGAAAGAAATCTTTCAACGTTTCCGTGTTGACATTAAGTTATATCAACACGGCTCTAATTAGCCAATTTGCCTTCAGAATTTACGAAAGCAATATTATAATACTGTATATTATATAAACATGATATCAAACCTTTTCCTTGTCAACAAATATGTTCGACACTTTTCCAAACTGAGAAAAATATACATTTAGATCATTTTCCAGTGTGATTTTATTTTCGAAGCCTCGAACATATATACTTCGTTCTGTACTTGCTTTTCTATCCTCCCGAGCTTTCAGTAATCGTTGATGCTTCTTTCCATTATTATGCATAACTAGTAATGGTTCTAAAAATATTTATTCACAATTTATAAATAGTGCCAAGGGTTTGGTGTTAACTTTATTATTAGCATGACAAAATTACTGGATGCTGATTGGCTGAGAGGAGTACAATTATTTCATTAATTGTATGAGTACAATTAATAATTTTTCCAAAACAAACAAAATGGCGGAAAGGTATTATTAATAAACACAAAAATTGTCCCAGAGGAACTTAAAGCAAAAAAACTAAATGAAAATATGAACAAAACTGCACCAAATTTTGGTTGAAAGTCTGGCAGGAGTGGGCTTTGGCTAGGCTCGATTATCAGCCGTGGCCTTCCGAATGCCGGCTCGTAATCGAGCCTAGGCTTTGGAGAGAATATGACGTTGACATGGAGAATTATCCAATTTTGTCAAGCTAATAATAAACAAGTAATCATGCGACGTTGCTCGTCCAATTAGGGATTAATAATACTCGTGATGTTTGGAAATATTGCCAAATTGGACCCGCCCCGGCGGCTCGTCCAATTTTGGCAAAATTTCCAAATATCACTCGTGCTATTAATCCCTAATTGTACTCGCCATCGCATGATTACCTATACAAATAATCAATTAATGATTCATTAAGAGATGTAGTAATATGATGGGACATTTTTTACTCAAATGATGGGACATTTCTGACGTCTTTGTGGTTACTTGTGTGTGGGGTGTGGGGCAGTTAAACAATGGGAAATTACCAGCCTGCTTCGCGCGCACTGTTTGCCAGTGAATCGGGCCTTTCAGAACCGGAAATCGGGCTGGAGCACGCGTTTGTTCTTTTGATTTGGCAAATGAAGCACGACAAATGGGTGAAATGGCAAAATTCGCACGTTGCCCGGTTTGCAAAAACTACTGCAAACTGCTCTAATTCTTTCCGTCACTTTCATTTGATCTTACCCGTGAGTCGGCATCAACGGCCTTTGATTACAAAATTGTTATATGTAATCTTGAATCTAATAACTGCACATATTAAATTTGTAGTGTTCTGTATCGGGGGTGGGGGGTTGTCAAAAGGCGGTGAAAGCTTCCCTCGAAAGGGTACTCTACAGGTGAAGATGCAACTCCAGCAGACGACACAGAGATCTTTAACACCATAAAATCGCCTGAACACGCACAGTCACTGCAGAAGGATGTGAACAAACTCGTATATCTTGGTCTACATCCACAGACCTGACTTTTATACTCTGACTAAATGTACAAAGTACAGCGCATTACCAGGAAACTTGTATAGGAGTAAAATTTTAATATTATAAAATTCTGGAATAAAATAAAACACCCTTCTAACTGTAACCGTCGTTGAAAAAGGCCATTGGAGTATTAAACGTCCAGTCTCCAGAGTAATGTCAGTAATTTAAAACAATTGTGTAAACAGGTTTCGCAAAATTGTGCAAAATCAAGTAGAATGCTGGGGTTCATAAGACGAAATGCAAAGTTTATTACAGATTTATACAGTAAATGAAGTTCTGTAATAGAATCGCCATCTATCTTATATTTGCAGATGTGATCTGGATACGCTACTAAAGTATGGGCGAAAGGATTCAGCGACGTGCAACCAAGTATATACTGAACTTGCAATTCCGCTGTTCGGAAGCTTAGAAATATAAAACAACGGTAACAGAGTGGACTTGGTGCGGGCTCGTGAGCTTTTTCCCGCAAATTGAAAGCAGTTGTTGGAAGTTCTAGGCTAACTCTTCAACAACCTAATGACTGATTTTAAAGCAAAGCAATTGAAAGGAAAACTTATATATTATTTTCATACGAAGAAGATGAATGGCGATATTTATGTTGGACTGTTTTGAGCTGAGAGGCTTCGAAGAACATGATATGATCCGACCTTGTATCTGAAAAGTGTATTATTCTTGGAACAGCCGAACAAAGTGGTAAATTTTGTTACCCGGTGTGTTGGGCATCATAATTCACAGGACTTGTACACAGCGCCGTTTAAACTGGCTATGAAATATCATGAATACTTCGTCGAGTTCTCTACCGCCATGTGACCTGTAGTTTAATGTGGCACGCGTCTTTGTAAGGGCTTTACTTGACTTTAATCGACGTGTAAGGTATAACTTAGGTAAGCCAACAATTCTTTGTAATGCAAATTACATTTTCATATCTTTAATGTGTGAATATTTTTAATTTTGTAAAAAAATAAGCGCAAATGTTGTTGGAGAAAGTATCGAGTGCTTCATAATAACGCTCAGATCTTGTATACGGATATTCGTATTTTATTCAAAATCTACCGTTTATCACCAGTTTTTTTACTCTTTTATTTTAAAGTATATATAATCCTTGACTTGATAAAACGATGATCTACTTGATGAAAATTGGTCAAAGGGGCGATCTTTGCAGAGCAACTTTTCCGTTCGGTGAAATCGGTAGTTCAGAGACCCTATTTTCATTGTAGTATTTCGTGACAATTTGTTGGCCGATTTCTAGTTTATATAATTGTAGAACGGGTTCCTAGTGAATTAAATTAATTGTCTATATCTTCTACAGAGTAGTAATAAGCGCTACTCCTTTTTGTTGACGGATGTTGAATTCATTTTAAACTTTTGTTCATATACAACAAGTACATTACGGAGTACTGAATCACTGTTTGCAAAGAAATTAGCCTATATCACAACAAAAATTCAAGCTTATTTTTAAAGTCAAATAGGTTCTCCATGGATATAAAAGTACTTTTTATGGATAATACGTTTTTAGACGTTCTCTGGTTTTTAAATATTTATTTAATTACGAGCTTTCGACTGCCAGTCTGCAGTCTTCAACGGGTGGATTACAATGAGAGTGTGACAATTACAACGGTTTACAATTACATATAGATACAAAATGACAGAAATATGACAGTTCCGCCTACATACAAGATTAATGACTTAAATTACATGTAGCTATATAGATTCAGAGTTTTTTGCTAAGTAGAAAGCGGTATTGTTCCGGTAAATGTTTTGAATTGTTGTCGGAGTTTTTTGTGCATGCAGTGTGCCATGATTCAAGTGTTTCTCTGTGCCGATAGTTGCCTTTGTCAATTATTTTCCCGCTATTGAAATCTATTCTATGGTTGTTTGTCCAAGCGTGATTAGCGATATTTGAACCACTTTTATAGAGCTCTACATTTCTCCTGTGTTCCTTTCGCCTAGTGTTGAACGCTCTGCCAGTTTCGCCAATGTAGCTCCATGAGCAATCTGCACAATTGATCTTCTAGACCACGTTAGTCTGATCCTCCGGTGATGGTCTGTCTTTAGCAGAAGGAAATGACTGTTCCAGAGTGTATAAGGGTTTCGTTGTTATTCGGATGTCATGGGGTTTTAGGATTCTTTTGAGTGGTTCTGTTAGGCCTTTAATGTAGGGAAGGACAGCGTAACTGTAACTAGACTGCGGTTCTACGAGATCAAAACTCTCTTTTACCAACTCCTCAGGCTCAGGTGATGACGCTTTTTCTTGTCTTATTGCTCGTTTCCTTTCGACCTCTAGCAAGAAATTCCGGCGGTATCCATTTCACAGTTACTTTGTATATTTTTGTTCCGAAATCCGAACGAATCCGATCGGATTTGCACACCTAGTTGTTACTATTATATCACAAGTTATAACCACCATTTAATTAGCTACTATTACAACCAGGAACACAAATTTCTCGAGTCCCTAAAGAATTATAAAGGCCAATCCAATCACGAGGCGATTATCAATACTCAAAGCCTCGCTTGAACATATTTGATGCTGCGCTAGCCTGCGCAGCGACTCTCAGGGAAAGTAGAGCCTGCACGAAACCCCATGCTTTGCCATTTCCGCCCACCTAGCCTTAGACAGTCGGACTCCTCATTGATAGTCGGACGCATCATTGACCCGCGCCCTTAAACAAAATATTCAGCGGATACTCTTCTTATCAGATGCGCCTTCCCAGTGTGTCTTGCGCACGTAACTGGTGATTTCAAAATATTGTATTGTTTGGTTGAGATGTCAAAATCTGAGCAGGACACATTGTGGCTTCATATCTTGTGTGGTGATGACATCTAACATATTTTATTAAGTTATATTCGCCATTTCCACTTGCTTTTCTTTACTTTTGCAACTGTTTTTTGTAACTCTTTTCGGAGCGATTGCAGAATACCCGTCCACTTTTTAGACTTTTTAAGCTATGCCTTTCAAACATGGACACGATGTATTAATACATCTATATTTATTCTCAATAGATTAATAATAAATACATTGATAGTCTCATAGTCTAGTAAATGATAGATTAAAATCCCATGGTGGTAAAGGTAGCTACGAGGCATACAGTGACTTAGCATGAATAGATTAAATTGTCATAGTGTTAAAGGTAGCTCTATATATTCTAGTGGATACGCATGATACGCAGTCAAGTCGGTTATTTTGAGAACGAGGCATACAGTTAGATTAGCATTAGATCAAATTCTCATACTATAGGTAGCTCTATATTTTAGCGGATACGTGGATACGCAGTCAAGTAGTTATTTTGAGATCAAGGCGACAGTTAGCATTAATAGATTAAATTCTCATGCTATAGAGAGCTTAAATAGTTAAATGTGGTGTAATATGTAAATATGTTCCTCACAACCGGACATTGGTGTTTGACAGATTATGATTAATTAGCGTCGCTGGGAGAAAAAAAATTATATTATAAAGCATATTAAGCATAATAATATTAAACATTAAAAGTCTTGCATGATATTTCTTTTATTGTATCAATTCGTAATATTGTCTTAGTAATTAGTTTGTGTATATTAGAATCAGGCAATAAGATCTGGTATATACATATCCAGTGAAATGTGGCTGGGCTACATGATATGATATTACTAGTGGACGGGTATTCTGCAATACTTCTATTTGTGGAAAGTGGTTTTGATGGTCGCTTTGAATCTTCCAATATTTCCTTGCACGCCAGTTATCTTATACTGATTCTGTTCAATTAGGATGGTATATAGTTTTAATTCGCAATAACAGTTCTTGAGTATTTTCGGAACCAGAAAAACAAAGTTTGTAGATTTGCTATAGCATCGCGAAGAAAATCTTTCTACACGTGGTCGAAGACTGGAACAACGCGGAATGATGGACATATGGTATACCAGTGGGTTATGCAGGGTACGAAGGGATCGATCGATAACGCGCGGAGGCCTGGACGCGGATCAATGATGCGTCCGACTATCAATGAGGAGTCCGACTGTCTACGGAAAAAAAATTTGCAGTTTCGACAGCGGTCAACCGTGATGTATTTAATGTTATTAATGTTTCGAGCGATGCAGAGAAGATAGTATTAAAGGTGTCTAAAGCCATCACTTCAGAGAGAAAATCTATTTGTCATCGATGAATTGATCAAAACGAACACGCTTGTGAAAGAGGCGCTAGACAGCAATCCAACGAAGACACCACAGTCAATATCTCTAGAGCTTCGTAAACCAAGTTCGTAAATACCTTTATTGTTGAACCGTAAATCGTGACTTTAAGCTCTTTTGAATGCAAAAATCAAAGAAACGTCAAAATTTGTATGAATTTTAGCATAAATTAGCATATTTTTTTCATTTTGAACCAATCAGTTTTCTCGTCCTCTGAGAGAACGAGTAAATATGGCAAAGCAGGGGGTTTCGTGCAGGCTGTCCTTTCTCTGATAGCTGACTGACCTTCTTTCAAATGTTTACTATCTGTTCTGTCTCACTAAAGAAGTGTTGACATTGCAACTCAGGGGAGCATGTGAAATATGTTTAAAACAGGATTTGTGCGGCCACTGGCGCATGTTACTGAACCTTGATCAACTCTTCGGCTCACAAAAAAAAACTTTCCACCCTGGTCAACTATCAATATGTCAATCAGGGATGGATTTACTGGGGGAGGGGGGGCCCTAGCCAGAGGGGGTGCAGGGGGGGGGGGCTATTTTTATGAGATTCAGTAATTTGAGTAATAACATGATGCTAAGTGAACTGTGAACAACAATTACAATTCAAATACACTAGTTGATGGGCGGGCGGCACACATGACCGACACAACTCGACAGTCGGCACCAGAGCACCCCACACCAGATCAGCTGAGCTGGATCCATCCCTGATGTCAATATCGGTCCATTCCTACATGAAATGCTGTAAAGATTTTAAACTAGTAGCATATATGCCAGCAATGGTTTAAACTATATTCTAGCCATCCCTAATACGTTAAACTTACCTGACGATATAAATGTGTCGCAAACATCGCAATATATTTTCTTTCTCCCTTTTATATTTTCCTCCATGTTTATTTTAAAATTATTGCGCTGTAAGGGGGTAAGCCTGGGAATGAGGTTGGGGGTAAGCAGGGGTATTGGCGGACTACTTGGAATATGAGAGAATATTGGAGACAAACTGTCACGATAGTTCGAAAAACCATAATGATATGGACTGGAAGATCCGAAGATGGAGGCCTTTCGTTTAGTCTCCTTCGCAGGCATTCTTCTAGGCTTTGCTGGAATCACAGAATAGGGTCACTGGCTCGAATCAAAATTATAATAATTCGATAATATGATATTATGATCAAAAGCTCATAGCTGACAGCTCGGTGGGGAAAACCTAGGATATCAAGGGATAATATGTTGGCAACCGCTGACCAGTCTTTGGTCTTGTTTTTCAGAAAAATTCAAAAGCAGCTGCTTTTTTGTTGCTTGGCTTTGCTTTGAATAGAAAGACAGGAATATTTTCAATAATTCAGAACATTATTTAAAACTTACTAATATGAAAGAAGACGAAGAGAACGAGCCTGACGGTATTAAGTAGTTTTAAACTAACTACATATTATCTTATGATCTTGTGATCTATAAACATCAATTTCAACTACAAATATGTTTACATAATTATTGAATTTTTATTTCGAATATTCTCAGGCTCGATCTATCACGAAGTCCAGCCACCAGTATGGAAAAGCTATTGTGAGTATTGTGCATTTACCTTGGACGTGTACTTAAAATATATAGAGATGCTGTTTTATGTGTGTTGTGTTTTGTTTTTAATTTAAACGACAATGTATTTTTATCGTATCAAAATAAAATTGCGAAACAGGATATCGAATTTTAATTTTATGAATTTACACAAAAATTACTACAATTTTTTACCTTGAAATAATTTTACAAATTATCTAAACTTGTCGCAATTGGTGATATTATATAATGACGTTCTACTAAGGTAAACGCTTCTGCATTTTCTAGTGTATAACTTGCAGCTTTCTGCGCCAAAACCAACTCGAGTGCGATGTGAAAGACAGGTATGTTAAATTTTGCTACTCATTTGTATAGCAACAGTGGCATAGAATTTAATACGACAAATAATTGCACATGTATTATATATAAAGGCTTTGTTTTGCCTGACAGAAGCTAGATATTCTAAATATACGTATAGGTTTAATGGGCGTTTGAAAGGAAAGTGAAAAATGTTTTGTCACTCAATGCCATATCAAACTGTGTTTTTGTTTACATAATTATATGTCATTGAGAAGATTCCAACTGAGTTTATAAAGCCAATCCCCTGTGCAGTGAACCCTATCAGTGTCCCACTAAAGATTATATTTTAAAAATAGAGGAAGGGATCCAAACATAATACTCAGTGGCGTAACTACTATGGGCTCAGACCGTGAGAACCCGGGGGCCCCAACCTAAATGGGGGCCCCCAGGCTTAGGCAATAGAGCAAAAACATTGGTCAGGGCCTCTGATATGTTACAATGTAGTTTTATGACCATCAAAATTCTGTAAAATCTCTCCCCAAAGTCCAGGAAATGGCATTTCAGAGAGTCTAAATTCAAAAATTTTCCGGATAAGCATGCCCTGGACCCCCTAGAAATTTCGTGCATATACGGCGCTCGACTCGTGCCTTTGGCACTTCTACTAGGGGGGCCTTCAAAAATTTTGAACCGGGG